AAATATATCGGTGGTATAATAATCATACTGCTAGTGCACTCAATAAAAAATAACTGGAGTACAGAGTGTACAGCAAGGCTCTACCAAGCCCCCCAGAAATGTTCCACAGACCCAATCCTTTATAAGTTTGTGTTTGGTGGCGCATGCGTGCGTGTAAAGAGATTGGAAAATCTGCTCCTGGAAAACCGCAGACCATGAACCATGCAGACATCATCGTTGTCTCCTGCAGTGCTGGCATCCCATCCATTTATCAGGCCAGCTGTCTCACCAGGTAAAAATAAAACAGTGCTTTGCGTTCACAGGGATGGAATCAGCTCAGAGCCGGGGCTCACTGCATTCAGGAGTCTGAAAGTGGGCAGGGAGAGCATCACAAACAGCAGCAGAGCAAAAATCAGTTCTGGTCTGGAAAACTCCTCCAGCAACAGAGAATAAAAATAAGTGAGCGTTGAAACAAACTGTACCACTTCTCTCTTTCATAGTTCACTGCTATTAATTTTAATTAACTTACTTAATTGAAATGGCCAGAATTCTGTCCCCTTCAAAAAATGTCTTCTCACAGACTTTGATTAGCTTCACAGAAATACGGCAGATGACTTTAAACGGCATGAAGGTGGATTTATTGGCAGCAGTGTCAGATTTGCACTTAGCAAGGAATTGGCAGATAGCAGAATATGGCTGGAGAGGATTCAAGCTCCAAGGACTCCAAGCTGTAAAAGGATTGATTTGAAAAGCAAAGCATAACGTATTTACTTCAGATAAAATTAATAAAAGCTTTTAAGTAAAAACATGAAGAAATTAAACTTCCACTGAAAAGCAATTGCATTGCTTCAAAGGTATGGTCAAAGGGATATTTACTGCTTTCCTCCCTTGTTGTGTCATTTATTGCTTCTAGCTGTAGAAAGGTATATTGATCTCCTTGATCGGGTATATGTTCAGAAGTCAGATTAAACCCGAAGCTGCACAAAATTACTTAGCATACAGGAAATAAAATGCTTTATTTTCATCCTGAATCAACTGTAGAAAAAAGCAGTGTATTCACTGTGAATGAAAGGCAGAGAGTCCGAAGCCCCAGAAAGCGCAGAGCGCTCCGAGTAGGAGCCCTTTGTGCAGGTATACAAAGGCCTTGGCCAGGCTCTACAACAACAGAAAGGATGCGGTTTCGTGCCAAAACATGTTCTCACTACTGAAACATCACCAGCTGAAACCATCACTTTATTTGGTCTTGGGGGGATTTTTATCCCAAGTTCGGTTCTTTCTTTACAAATGTCACAAAATTGCTTGTAGCGGTGCTTAAAATACCAGCTCCCACACTGACACCTCATTAACGCTGGCAGCCCTACCGTTGGGGACAGGCCAGCGGTGCCGCTGACAGAACTCTTTGCCAAGACACCAAGCAGGCCAGGGTTGCTGCAATGGGGCTGCCGGGCCTTGCTGCAGCTGCCTCAGCCCCACACATCCCCAGCCTGCCAAGCCATGCGCAGCTGCTGCGGCCACAGCACAGACATCAGATATGGCACCATTTGACTTTGTTGAGTCATTTCAAAACTGCGTTCAGCCAGAATGGTTCACAGAGGATGCAGAAAAGGCAAGACTGCTTTAAAAAGAGAAAAGGAAAAGAAGGAAGAGAGAGAGAGGAAAGGAAAAAGGGGCAAAAAGATCAGCATCTCAGCTTTGCTGCTTTACGCTACCACACCTGTATGAGACACTTCTATGTTACCGATGGGACATTCTGTCTTTTTCCAATGGCACTTAAAACCCTCAAATGACATTCAACTATTTCTGTTTCTTACAGCTACAGTTAGCTTTTTTTTCCTACTGCTACTCGTCAGTGATGTATCTGCAGGAAACTGAGCAAGTCATGTTCCTGCTTTGCAGGACATAGCTTTAGATTTCACTTTCTTGGAAAAAAGCTGAGAGATGCTTTCCATGGTAAACTGGCAGGTGATGGGACTGGTCTAGCAGCCTGGATGGAGCTCACCTAACTCCAAGTCTGTAACTGAGGCCCCCAAAGGAGGGGCAAATACAGTCAGCACTGCTGTTTGGATGAGCTTGTGTCCCAGGAAGCCAGGGATGCTACAGGCTCATATACCTCAAGCGACATGATTACAGGCATCAAAGGGAGAAGTTCAGAGGAAGGCTACAGCAGAAACTTCTATGCACGCAGGTCACCAAGGGCCAGTAACACATCCTGCATTCAATGGGTTGTGTTGCTCTCCATCATCACTCTCTGCTCTGCACATTGCTTCTCCTTTCTTCCACTGAACTACACTAAATGCTTCAAGTGCCTTACAAAATGCCTCAACATCATGCCTTGGTCCATGATGTGTACTGGCACAGCAGCAATACTGAATAAAATTCAAGTCAGAACAGCAAGGGATTTTTTAATTCTCACTTCCCTTGGCCACTCTTAGTAATTCTGGATAAGAGGAAATGATTGACATTCACTAGTAGGTCTGTCATCCACAGATTTCATCCATTACAGTGTGCAGAGAAACCCACACATGGACAGTTCGCTTACGTATCTTTTTTGAAAGAATTTTCTTTTCACTGACTTAATCTGTTATTCTAGATGAAATTGCAAATTTCTGCCAAATAACTTAAGAATAATGTATATGTTTTTGTCAGCAGCAGAAGTCGTAGTTCAACCCATCGTTTCTAATGCTTACATGAAAGTCAATAAAATGTAAAGAAAGCAGAGAAAGCTCCCTTTGTACTTGACAGCCCCAGACCTATCAAGTTTTAAAATGCTGCTGGTACCGCCGCATAAATAAAATTGCCAAATAAACCACAAATATAGAGGTATGTTACTGTCACTCTTAGAATTTAAGGGTTTGACAGTAAGGAATTAGAAATTCATTCATGTCTGAAAAGTAAGCTATTTTTTCCACTTAAATTCACAATTTTTACTTTGGAACTGCAGAAAGGTCAGCCACAAAGTCACACGCTGAAGCCAAATCTTCACGTTGCCCTGCACCGTGCCTGCACAGCAAGGTCACCCAGACAATTCGATCCACAGATGTGTCTGCCTGCAAGGGGAGAGGAAATCAAAACATCTTCACGAAACTCACTTGCCTGCCTGGGTCCTCCTTAGTCTCAATAACAAAGAAAAATTAGGGCACTTTAAGGAAAAGTGGAGATCAGCTATAAAACCACCCAGTGAAATGAGGACAAACTTTGCCATTCTTTTTAAGCTATGAGTATTTTCTCCACGAGAACAGATCTTTTCTGTGTCAGACTCAGCATGAAGAGATTTTCATTTTTAGAGCCATAAGGAACTTGACAAGTCAACCTACTATAGTCAATAGTGTGTTAATCTTTATGCATAATAATCGCAAACCTACATTGTACAGGTTTGGTAATCATAACTGACATGAGCTGAATCTGAAGTATACATTTCTTTCAAAAATAGATGCGTATGTAGGTAGATGTGTTGTAGAAATATAATATACTACATGGCTGAGCCTAGATAAGCTGGCGATTCTCAAACGTCAGCATCAGCTGCACAAAGTTAGGGTTGAAATCTAGTCTCCTAAATACCTGTTCATCCTTCTTATGACACTGACTCTAAGGAGCTCAGTGAATAGTAGATAAAATAAGTATCTAATGAGGTATGACAGAAACTCTGATGGAGCAAAACAGCAGACATCTAAATTCTAATAAATAAATGAAGTAAAAATTTACTGCCAGCAACCATGCTGGCAGCGTAGTTGTTAGCCATAGGTTAGCCATATGTTAGCCATAGGAAACTGCAGCTCTGCAGCTGGAGAAGGGCAATACTCAGCAAGCCAGAGAAGCAGAGGAACTCATCCAGCTTTGATTATTTATGGTGTGATGATGAAGGAACAATTTTCCATACGAGACACTGCTTTCAAGTTTAAGAGCGAAGCTGAAACAGAGATTTAATAAAAAATCAGAGGGGAAAAAAACTACAAAAACAATAACATTCATTTTAACAACTTAAAACTATAATTCCTGTGCAAAGCCAGATGTTACCTTGTCCGACTTGAAGGTAAACAGCAAACGGCACTCATGACGACCATTCTGTTGAACAGCACTATCTAATGGTACTGTAAATACGGCTCATTTCGTTCTTCCAAATGCTATCAAACTGAACTCAAATTCAAAACAAACGTGTTTTTAAAACACAGAACAGATCTGCATTAAATACAGATGTATTTTCAAAAACCCCAAGCTTTCATGATCTACCATAATCCTAATAGCCTGAAATGTAAGAATGCTTTCAGGCTCAGAAAAAAAAGGTTTCTAATTTTAAACATTTATGAGAACACCGAGAAGCAGCTTAGAACTATGCTTTAAAACATATTTTCAGGCTTTAAATTGCTGAAATCTGGGCTGTGTTTACCCGCTTGGCCTGGACTACAGAAGGAAAAAGAAGTTCAGGAACATAATGAAAGTGAAGATTGTACATGAGAGTTTCCACTTAAATAAAAATAAAAAAAAAAACAACTGGCTCCTGAGTTCCAAACCTCCTCCAGCAGCACAGCAAGCCCCTCTTCTAAGGAAATGAGAGAGTGACTCTTCTTGGTAAAAAAAAAATAAGTAAAATAGCACCAAATCACTCATCTACATCACTGGCTCTGATGCATCATCTTAAAACACACTTTTGGGAAGTATTTTAGAAGGACTACCCAGCCATCATTTGTGCTGTTCCTGCAGAGGGGGAACTCGGTGTCAGCGCTGCTCTCATTTCAGTGCATTTTCAACTATACTCAGTATATTGTATGCATTAAAACATGTTTTTCACACAAGCATAAGAACTTGTTCCTACAGCAGTTCAGCGCACAAAGTATTATCCTAAAACAGTGAACAAACCAGTTGTGTATTCAATGGAACTGATAGTAAAAACCCACAGGGACTCTTCCACCTCACCGAGCAGCCCTGCACTTCTATGAGACCTTTCCTTTTTCATTTTTTCTCAGCTTCAGTCTCGTAGTCCAACACAGGCACAGCACCATACAAGAAACAACATTCAAAACCACTGGCTCAGAAAGCTGCCTTTACTGTTTAAAAACAAAAAACACACAAAATATTCCAACAGCTTCTGGAATTCCCCTTGAAATCCCCAACATTTTTTAGATCTCTTCATAAAATTTTTTTGCAAAACAGTGAGAGGCCATGCAAGGCATTTTAGGAATGATTCTTTCATCACTCCAATCCCTCAATTACAGTTTGACCACAAGAAGAAATGAATGGAGCAGTAGTTTAGAAATAGTACTGGTGTATTTTTCATCAGTCTGCCTTCTGATATGCTGATTTCTGTTGAACAGTGATACAGTGACTTCTCAGCTCACAAAGAACGGCTGGAAAAGGCCTCTGGATCCATCTGTACAGTAGATGTGGAAATACAAGCAAAAAAACCTTATTACCTGCATCATAGACTCAGAGGAACAATTTCTCATTGCAGCTATGTCTGGGCCAACTACACAAAAATAAAAGAGATATATCAAGAGTGTTAAAGGCAGAGTGCTGCTAAAGGTGTTCTTAGCATGTTCTTTTCATTTTCATACAGCAGTCAAGCTTTGAGAGTTCCATCTCCTGAGTAACTCCTGTTTTCAAAGGGCTTGGGCAAAAAAAAAAAAAAAAAAAAAGAACTGTAGATTTTTCACATTGAAGTCCAAAAATCCCTGCTATTACAAGGACTGAACGTAACACCTAAGAAACTTAGTGTCCAAAAAGACTGAAATTCAGAAAACAAAATGTAAAGGGGTTTTAAAGATAACTATGCTCTGGAATGCAGGTTGTGTGTATGTACCTTCAAAATTTTCTACTGAACTGCAGTAACAGAGTTTTAGCATAAAATCTAGAAGCACAGTCGGGATTGAAATCACACTTTCAATCTGGTTTGCCATTTTGTTCAAGATTGGGATTACTTCATATAAACTGATTTATTTCTGTGTATAAAGTGTAATGGAACTTAAGCATCTTATTCATTTTAACCATTATCATTGAGTATTTGCTGCTGCAAATTCCTCACACGTTCATCAACGCAGCACTGTAGAACTGAGCCTCAATATTCACCAATGCTAGAAAGTTCAAAAATTCCCTGTTTTGAGAACAAACTAAAAATTGTCCATAAAATAGAAGAGTCTTCACAGTTATGACGACTTTGCCAATGATTACAAAGATCCTCCTTTCTTCCAAATAACTGCTTGCATAAAATGCAGTTATATCCAGCTTTAGACCAAAATTCAATCTTTTTGCTTGGCGCCCCACAACCTACATTTTGCATCCCCTTGTCTGCTTCACTGCTTCCTGACTGAGTCATTTCACTTCTAGTTAATGCATCAACATTACTTTGATGGTGAAGGTATATCTGTCTTTTCAGTTTTGGAAAAGTATACAACTCCTCCTCGTTGTCACTGCATTTTGCCAAGAGTCTTCTTTCACTGCGCTGTTTCCAGAAGTGAGCTGCATGTTTGATAAGTTCTCCCCTAGTTCCTCTATTTCCTTGCAGAGCTCCTTCCTTTACTCTTCCCTGGATCTCTTCTCCATGCGAGCATAACAAGTGAAACTTCATCTCACCAAAAGACTGTGCAATGAACTGACACTGACCGCATCTGATCTGTAATTTAACTTCTCCTGGATTATGGAATAGATCTTCAAAATCGCATCTACTTCCCCTGTTAAAAAAAGGAAATAGAAACTATTTCAGAACCAGCCATGCACTAAAGAGATGATCCACGCAAGTTTCAAGATGACATCTATGAAACAATCTTTTAATTAAAAACAGGCACTGTTACAGCATCCAATTTATTAGGCGCAGCTAAAGAACCCAATAAAATAACAGTAAGGCTAATTCCTTCATAATAGCAAAGTAATCTCAGTAAAAATAATCTTTTAATGCCATTAACCTTTTAATAAAAGGCGAATAACATTTTTTTAAGTTCTTAATTTGGTGGTGTCATTTCAAACTGTTCTAGCTCTGTGCTAGAAAAGTGCAAACAAGCATTTCCAGTAGCTGACTACTAACAGAAACTATCATGTTTGCACCTGACTGACATGAAGCCAAAAGCACAGGTCCCACCTCTCACTCTGAACTGGAACCAGGAAAACTTCAAATCTCAGTCTTTTTCTAAAAGCTTGTAAGAGCATTAAAAAAGTTTTAAAAGGTAATTTACGACTGGACAGCCCCTTTCACTAATTTAGAACTGCTCTGTAGTAGAAAGGAAACAGATGTATGTATGAGTTAATATGCTCCTGGCTTAAGTTAAGCCAATCAAAAGAAACTCAACAGAACCCCCCTCTTGCAACATCTCGGAAAAGGACCACACTGTCATTTATTTGTATGCATTTATCAATACACTTTGGACAGATTACCTAACAAAATGGATATACTAAATGATTCACTGTATGACAACTAGTGACAGCTGAAAGAAAAGTACCGGTACTTCTTAAGCCTCAGTACCTTAAAAATTCTCTATGTGATGCCCCAGAAGTAGAATTATGCAAAGCAGACACACACAGTGCAGTGTGGAGGCATCAGGTGAAAGCAGTGGGCTTAATGAAGCACACTTAAAGGTAAATACACAATGGAGTTAACAAAAACGCTAACCATTTTACTGTGCCAAGAACATTCTCCTCAAACTCATAGAGTAGAATTAAAATAATGTTCTATCCATCTTAATATGGTGCATACTAACTTTTTGACCTGGCAAAGCAAAAGCAAAAGCAAAAGCAGAAGTAATCAGCACACAAGACAGATTAGCTCACAGCACTCCAGAGAAGGAAATGGAATAATGATATTTAATAGTGTAAACAAACTACAAACTAATGCCGAAATATGAATTGCCTTTCACTTATTGCAGTTGGTTCACTTATCTTCTGGGAAAAAACACAAAGTGGATACGATACAGTCAGAAGCTATCAACTGATCAAAATTGTTCCACTGCCAGTTGGGTATTCCTAGAATACACGCAGAACTACTTTGGAAATTCCAGTGTCAGTAATAATTTATATTCCACAGATCATCTACAATACACTAGATAGTTTAATACATTGACTAGATTCCACTAGAAAAAATATTTAACTTATAATCAATCTTACTTGAGATAAAATATATACCTATAAAAATCAACAATTGTCATAATGGTGATGTTTATGAATTTCTTTGAAATTAATATGAAATTCTATTTTCCTTAGCTTTTGATCACTGAAAACACTCACCTTTCTGTTGCTTCTTCTGCCTCTTTTATATTCGTGTCCCTGTTCCTCAACGCATCTTGCATCTGTTGCTCACTACCAGAGGGCTCTGTGCTAATAACAACCCTGTGCACTTCCCTTAGGTGACCAAAGTATACTTTTGCATGGCCAAAAATCTTAGCACAGAATTCACAACACACAAACTTTTTGGGCTTGCCTTCGTTGTGATGAAGTTTCATATGCGTGCTCAGGCTTCCAGAATGAATGTAAGCCTTCCGGCAAATTCGACACGTGTAGGGTCGTTTGTTTGTGTGTGCATTCATATGGTCCTGAAGATGGTGTTTGAACTGGAACTTATGGTTACATACATGACACCTATGCCATGGCTTGGGTACAGCTGAGCACGCATTTCTACCCAAATCAATTGACATAGCTGATGTGGTATCGTTATATTTATAACTTGAATATTTACTGGCAAGTGAACTGTTTAAAAAAACACCTTTGTCTGAATGGTCAGGAGACCTTTCCTCCACCAGTGCCGTAGAAGGCAGCGGTGCAATTGCCTGCACAACTACCATTGGTTTGGGTCTAATATTACGGTATTTTTTCACTGCCTCTGCTTTTTTGTCTTCAGGTGGCTGAAGATCAGCTTTCACCCTCTCTCTTACTTCTCTGAATTTATTAACGATGCATTTCCTTCGCTTGGCCTGAAAAGCCAATAAATCATCTTGGACTCTTCTCTTCCTGCCTATCCTTTTAGAGGGTGCACCATTCAACTTTTTAAGGCTGTCAACATCCACTTCATTGGATGGAGAGAAAGTATTTTCTGGAACGGTTTGTTTGGGGGCTTGAGTCAAAGATGCAGCCAATTGTTTATCAGATGCTTCAGCGGGGGCGTGAAAGGTTTTCACCAAAGCTGGCGTCTTTTCACATTCAGGTCTCGGTGAAATACCGGATATATCCTTTACGTTAGTACTTTGTGATTTACAAAACGCTGAATTTTTCATTCTTGAGTAAGGCAAAATAGGAAGTTTTCCTGTTGGTGCTGGTGGAGTCATCTGTACTGTACTGCCAAAAACTGCTGGTGACAGGTCAGAAACAGAATTTGCAGAATTTGTGGGTGCTTCCTTTAGTTTCTCTGACTCTTTCGTGGTTGCAGATGCTGTCTTCACAGAGTCAAGGCTAAATTTCACACCTGAATTTTCTGGCTTGCTTAAAGACTCCTTAACTATACATGGTCCAGAAACATTACTGATAGCAGTTTTTGTTTTGCTCGCTGAAGGAGATCCAGATTCCACACAAGTGTTCTTTCTTTGTAACGTAGAAGCCATCATTTCAGATGAATTATGGTCTGTTAGATTCACTGGCTCAGTTGAATCCGAGCTAGAATGAGTTTTTGGACAGTCTTCAGCTAAGGTAGTCACGGGGGAAGTCTGCAATGAGATCTGTCTTTTGGTAGATACCTTGCTCTGTGCATTCAAAACAGAGGCTTGGCTTGTTTTATTGTCACAAAGCAATTTGTTTCTCACAGACTGGTAGCGAGGGATAGGCAACTTTTGGTTTTCAGAACGGGCCACGTTTGTTGGCTGGCTTGGCTGTATCACGGCAGGGGTAATGTATGGCAAGGCCAAAAGAGAAAAACTACCCTCATGCCCAGCAACCTGCATGATGGCATAGTTTTGAGCTGGTACCACCAGTGGTTTAGAACCTGCTGCTGAAATCGCTGTACGTTGTTCAGGCAAAGATGACTGAAGACAAGAAACCATTCCAGATGTTAAAACTTTTGGCACCATTTTTGGAGCAATGGTCCTAAACTGACTTTTCTTCTGAACAGTTTGTATTATGTCCACAGGGGATTTGTGTTTATCTGTAATAATAAAATAACACAGACAATAGTAAACTGTATAGTATTTCTTTTTTTTATATTGCTGCAGCAGAAATAAAACTGCTTACAAAGGATACTATTAAACACAAGCCTATTAAAAATATTAGTTATTTAAATGAGCACTAAGTGAAGTTTAGAACTGCAAAAGTCTCAGACAAAGCTACTCTCTGAAACAATGCAAATATTCACATGCAAAACAAAAACAAACAAAAAAGAAAATAATCATTTTTTATTCTAATTTTAAATGTATGTTTCATTCTAGATTACAAGCTACATGACACTTCAGGACGTATGTGTGCATAAGGCTATTCTACTTGCAAGCTATGCTAGCATGGCTTCAGTATTGATTTGGAAGAACAGGACATGGGTTGTATTAAAACTTTTCACAGTATAGAAGCTTACTGAGCACATGCTTGATCATGCTTTTTATTTGGCATCATGCTATCTTTCAAAATTCTCGCACCACTTAGAATTTGTGGGTTTTGTTAGATACAGGCTACAGCTTACCCAATGAAGCTGTCAAAAAACCAACTGCAATAAAACATGCAAATGTGTAAAAATAAATAAATCGATGAGGACTTAGGAGAAGATGAACCATTGCTAAAAACCCAATCACACACATCGTTCATCCATTTTTACAGCACAACAGAACTGTATGTTGATGTAAGTTATTCAATTATTTTCTTAAATAAGCAATTTGCCTTAGTTATACTCCAGTTCTTTGCTGTTCCTGCTTGTGTTGGTAAATGTCATAAATGTTTTTAAGGGAGAATAGGATAATTAAGGAAAATGAAAAAAAGGAGAAAAAAAAAAAAGGAAAACCTACGGTGTATAAAATAAAAGCTACATTCAGCTGCAGAGATGTATATTGACCTTTCACATGCTCTATAAAAAACAGGCTTAATATAAAGCTAAATTGCACTGCTACCATTTCATACAACAGCCTCATTACCCACTCTCAAGTAAATTCAATTAACGATGCTTCCAGTTCACAGAAACTGGAATAGGTTTTTTTAAACAACAAAGGAAACAATAATCCAGCAATCTCAATCACTGACAATTCAATCACAAAGATACTAGGATACCAGATATGAAAACCATTTTGGAAAAACAACGATGGATGTAAGAAAAAATAAATTTAAGAAAAGATAACATATTAATAATATATGTAAAAATAAATGCTGGAATTCCAAAATATTGCAATGGCAATGAGGTAATTCCATAGAGAAGTATCTATTCCTTTTTAAACCCTGTATTATGAATGTGTTTATACATTGTTACAGACTGTTACAGACTTAAAGAGGTAACTGTGAGTGACTACCAACACTGGAAACTCCAGCAAGTTTGTTTTAATACTGGATGTTCTTTCCAGACTTTACACACTTTGCAACAGGCACTGGAAGTTACAGAGCTATCACATTTCATGACCAAGACTCCTGGACAGATGCACGTGCACACACATGGTAAGCACATGTGCAATAAATCCACTGCCTTCAGGACACATTAGACTCACTGCTCAATTGCACAGAAACCGTACAGATGACACACGGTAGGGCTGATGCTTCTTCAAAGCCTTCGACCTACAGCATGTTTATAGAGCAGCTATACAGAGCATAGTCCTTTGATCCTTTATTGCCATCTAAAGCATCAAAATCCAAGTCTATCATACATCTCCTTGTACATCCTCCCCCCAGTTCAGTGAATCTACTGGACACCAACTGTACTTTTCTTTTTTGCTTGATGCTTGTAGAATTATTCACAACTCCTAGATATTCTGTGAAGACTGCACTACAGCATATATGCAAATCCTGCACAAATACCAAGAGATTCCTACACACAGCAATAAAGCCAGGCCTAAGAAGTTTGTGCAACATGGATGAAGCAGAAATGTAAAAATTATTTCCTTATGCTCCAAAAGCTAGAAGCATGCACTGTTTTTCACTAAGCACCTCTATTTTGCCCACCTCCAATCACTATACATAGATAAATCCTGATCTTTTCAACTGCTGGATTGCTAAGAGCACTGAGAACTGTTTGTGCCCTCCATGGTATCTTCCTGTTGCTGATTTTAAGGCAATATTTTTAAGAGCTTCTGAGAAGTATTTTAAATATTAACCAAACTAGACTCTGAACTTCAAAGCCAGTTACAGGTCAAACTGTACAATCTGAATGCATCAGATTATTGAACAAGGGTATTTTTCTTTTAGGGGATGGAGTGTGAGCTTACTCCCCAGATTATGCCTGCCATTTAAGGATAATAAATTTCCAAACCAGTAGCTATTCAGTGTGCCACAGTAAGCAAGATGAAGCAGTTTCCATTTGCTCTTCATGTCTGCCTTGTGTCTCTCCCTTCTTCATTTTTCAAAATTTCACTCACTGATCTACACAAAATTTCTAGGAACACCAAATTTCTAGAGGACTGAGCTGCTTCATGCTGCAAGTTAGGAGGTTACCTTCTCTCCAACTAAAAGAAGCAAATGCTCAGGAAACAGATTTTGCAGTGGACATGCCACTATAAGGATGCTGAGATGGCAGCTGAAGCATCAAGAGTGTTTAATTCACGGTTAGAAGCAAATGCTTGCAGTAATAACACATTGTACTGGGTATAAAAATAAGCACAGTCTTCTCAAATATGTTGATTTGCCTATTGCAATTCAAGATGTAAAATCACTTTTACTTACAGAAGGACCATCTACATTATTTTCACAGTATTGTAGAAGAAAGTACCATTCAAGAGGCCAAGACTCTCACAAAAATTAACCACAAAATGGTGTTTGAAACAAGGTCCATTTAGATCAACATTCTTCTTTCTCCTCCAGCTACCCTAATGCTAAAGTACTGATACGACTGTCTCAGAAGGGATCTTTATACAAATGCTCCTTTTCCATTTAATGTAATTTTATCATGAATACTTTTTCCAGGCTAACCATGTTTGGTAGCAGCCTGGAGTACAAGTTGTATTTGTTTTGTTTTGCCAAGTTTACATTAGACCTTTTAGTGCAGAAATATTCATTGCCATGCCTCTAGAATGCAAAAGATACTCAGCTCTATATTTCCTCCTCATCCCACACAGCTGCTGCAGTTAAGCAGCTTAGCCAGTGCCTAAATATAGAGATGGGCTAGATGCAGAGCAGCTCTCTGATGATCTTTCAGACTCAGTTAAGATTATGATGTGGACTAGGAACACTAATTTGAAGACAATTTAGCATCTTGGATCAGCAAAAAGGACCCAGTCAGTCCACAATTTGGAGGTTCTACTGAGCCCTCCCAGAGCACCCAAGTATTATCAATGATCAAAACTCTCTCTTTAATTTATACTTTGCTAGAAGTTTCAACAATAACCTTTAGACATACACATACTTTCAACATCCTTTGGACACTGGTGATGTTATTCACGTCTTTGCCACCATGACACTGAAAAAGTCAAATGACTTAAATATGCTCTGGCTGCCACCATTCCAGAAGGCTACCTGGATAATTAATACGCATCTTTCAGGGCCATTCCACTTCTATTCCACTCTATCTTCCAAAGTACTTCCATTAGTCAGAAGGACTCTTTTCTGACAAGGACTAGCCAGCTGTGAGCTGAGCAAATGAAGTCTGGGATCTGAGAAGGGGAACTGGCAGTTATGAGAGGCACTGTGACGGCACTTTTAAGGATGGCCCTTGTTTTAGAACACATTCCTTTTACAAGTCACAGTCTACAGGTCTGTCATTGCAGAGCAGCAGCTTTTATACTTTCTTAGAAATAAAGGAAACAAACGAACACATTGAATGCAGTATCTGAATGCTGTGCATCTCATTTTTAACTGATATGTATTCAGTCTTCCACTTTTGCATCCAGTTGGAGCAATAGGTAGACACTTTTAAATAATTAAGTACAAGGTTAAGTCAAATGCAATTCAATCCATTTGCTTTAAAAGTCTCTGTTGAAAGATTAATGGTTACCACACTCATACACATGAGTATCAAATTACTCTGATACTTGCAGGATGTCATAAGCTTTCCATACTTCCACATTACCTTAAAATTGTATAGGACTGGCCAATGATATACCAATAAAAATCAATGATGCATCAAACTTCTGACAAAGTCATGCTGAGGAGAGTCCTCTGGAAGAATGGACACCTTCCACTGGGCTGCCACTCATTCATGGCTCTCTTTTCTTCACAAGTCATTCAAATTTAGTTTATTCCAATCTTTTTTGCCTTCTTTTTGTATGTCTTTCTGTTTGTTCTCACTATACATATAGCATGCAACATTGGAGAACTCAGGCATCACTGAAAACACCAGAAAAAATTACATTTCCAACCTCACCTGCTTAAAAATTACAAAAAAAAAATTAAAAAACAAAAACAAAAAAACAACTCAGAATTCCTTCAGTCTCTGGGTATTAATGCCTTTTTTCTTTTTTAAACAACTCTTGTAAGCCTTCCTTACTTGGTCAGGCATATACTTAATTTGTGTATGACTGGACTTTGGCAGAACGTAACACAGAAGGACCACTCAGTTGTGAAAGAAAAGGCAAAATACAGATAAAAAAAACATTAACAATATTTTAATGCACATTTTACTCTGCAGTCCTTTGCAAACTTCAAAAAGGTGACTATTGAGTTCTTTGGGAAACAAAATGCGTAACTACTTTCTAACACACAACACTACACTTATTTCAGTCAATGCTATATGAAATATCACTGATTATACCAGATCTCCATACACACTAAATACCTGTGGATACTGTCTTTCCAGCACAACTTTCTTGTTTTTGCTGACCCAGCATACTGTGTTGAACACTTTGTTTCTCTGCAGGATTAGCATGCAAAAAAACACCACCTGCAAAAGTGCTTCAGTCAGTTTCAATTAATCAATCCCAGCACCAGAAAGTATATAAAACATTATCTTTCAGTTAATGCATTAAGAAAGATATTGCTTCTTGGTCTTTGCCATTTTCCCATCTTCACAAATGTTTTAAAATCCAATATATTACATACCAAACACAAGGCAACAGTTTAAAAAAGAAATAAAGCTGTTTGAAGTGGTAAACAGATGTGATACTTTAACTTGAGCATCATGGTAGAGAGATGACAGTACCAAAACCAGCTCAGAAAAATGAAGTTTCCATAACTTTCTGGAGTTTTTTTACATACCGAAGGTTAAGTTCTATGCCAATTGACACTTCCCATAATCTTACATAAATTAACAGAATGGCAGCATTCTAGAAAACAGAATCTGGCCTTTATGTTCAAAGCTACTTTTGCTGCACACCTGTAAGATGTGAAGCTGGTAATAAAGTGCACAAGACAGGAGTGTCCAACACCACATACACCATATAAGAAACAATGTTCGGTCATTTCTCTTTGCCAAATATAAATGGTTTGAGAGGAACACTCCATTCTAGCTACTTGCCTCGGATAATTTAAAAAAACTCACAGAAAATGAATGTCAGCCATCCCCAGGTGTGTGCATTTCTATTTTTTAATAAAAATCTAATACATTACTAGAGGAAGACCTTGACATGTGACACAATAATTTCCTGTCTTCCTGAAAAGCTGCCCCAACTTGGCCCAAGCTGTAGGCTCTTGGCATATGTTTAAGAGATACTTTAAGAAACTAGCTTTTCCCAATGATTGCGTTCTGCTAAACGTGCTCGTGCTTCAGGCTGAGGCAGATTTTTCCAAAAAGTACAGTTTTAGTTTCAAATATCAGTGTTGGAAACAAGAAAACTCTCCTTAGCTCTTAACTGTTGGGCTCACACAGCATGAAAGAGAAGCTAGGATATACAGAGGGCAAGCAGAAAAATGACAAGATAGTTAGAAATGAGATTTGGAAAGTGTCTAGGACAAAATCAGAAGGGGGATAAAGAATTATGAGTATACTTCAGATGAGAAAGGAACATTACTATGACGTGTAATTTGGAATGGAGAGGCATTTAAACTGCAAGGATAATCTCATGTCTTGCACTCCTTACCTTTTAATGCTTGATAACATAATTACGTTTACATAGGAATTCTTTTGTGCAATTTAAAATAGATTGGAAAATCAAACATTACAACAAAGTACTCTACTGCAAGATTGGAAAACCACAGAACATTTGCACAAAGTCTAAGATACATAACGTACAAACACTAGAAAACGTGTTCTGACATACCACTGGAGGAACAAGATCAAAACAGCTTGTTAAATTACTAAGAAGGGAAATTACATCTCTTTAGAGCTATATTTAATTAATAGTGATTTTAGCATCAATATAATTTGACAGTTGTTCACAAGGCATTCTACCGTTTAGAGACCTCCTCTGCTTTAAACTCCGTGCATGTTTACTATTTTATGGGATCAAGATTAAAGCCCATTTCTAGAAAAACACTGAACAGCAGGACACTTCCTGTATTCCTTAAATAGTTTCCAAAAGACTCTTCTTAGCTTCTTACAGCTGTGTTTGAGAAGTTTAAAAAAGCTTTTTTTTTTTTTCCTTTTGAAGGCACTATCTTTCAAATTATGAACTACTCATTTCCTATTAAGGTTAATATGATAGGCTTTAAACAGATCAAAATGTTTTCATATCAAGAAACAAGAACTGCCACAGAAAAGCATCTATAATTATTAGTAATATTATTAAGAGCTGAAGAAATCACACACATTTTTCTCTCTAACACAGTAAGAGAACTTAGGAATAATGTTCATGCAAACAGATCTAAGGTTGCCTGGCCTCTGAAACCACTTTTTATCTTAATGAAGATGAGAACGCTGGTTCTTCTCTGTTTAAGAACAGAACACTTCTGAGAGATGCAGTTACATGCATATGTGATAAAAGAGCGCATTCCAGCTTCTATACATCTCCGTGCTAGATTCCACCATCAACCACATCAAAACTAAAGTGTGCACTTTCTAGAAACCATGCTGCTCAGGTCAGTTGATGAAAAAAGAAACGATTTAGATAGCACTGCAGTTCCACTATTTTATCTCTGTTCTTTTTGCCCAGTCATTCCACTCAAGAGAGGATTCCATCCCTAGAGATTTGCAAAGCAAGGCTTCAGTGCTGCAACCACCAGGAGGAAATAATTGTTCATAACAGATAAAAGGAGGTGATGTAAGCACTGTTTTATAAATTCATAAAACTTGTGAATATGAATTAGGTACTCTAGGAGGTGGGAACAAACATCAGTTTCAAAAGAAAAAAAAAAGTGGATTTTCAAAAGTTCTTTTTTGGAAGACCTGCCAGTTTAAATTTCTTTAAGTGAATTTCAAGAATCTTTAAGTGAATTTCAAGAATCAAACAGACCAAACACTAATTCATTCATTGTAAAGTTGATGTCAGTGTAAAATCCTTTTTAATAGGACAATCAAGATCACATCAACCTGGACAAAATCCTGAGACACCTAACGTAAGTGGTAATTAATAGACTCTTCTTTTGTTAAGTGCAGGAGACAATAATGATGGAATCTGCTACAAAAATGAAGGCAGAATTCTTCAGAAACTGAGCAGCACAAAAGGTCAAGTAGAACTATTTTATGAATAAGTCATGAAATATTTTCCAACTACATTCTTGCTCACCTTTCAAATAAGCTGAGAACAGAATCAATCTTCATCTCACTGGGAATTTAACTTTCCTTCCATCCCTCTCTGGGATGGAAAACTACTACTGTTGCACTAAGGGAAATAAGACTGTAACACCTCAATTTTTATTTTTTTTTTCCCACAAATGCAAACAAAGCACTAAAAAAGAGTCAGACTGTTAATCATTTTATAGGGTACCCATTTTATGCTAAAGTCAGAGCACTTCTGTCTGAACTGAGACCTGTGTAAGAGAGGACAAATGATTAGTTCTCTGCTCTGTCTTACGGATTCTCCGTAGAGCAAATCTGTATTTGGAATGCTTTTTATACTATTCCCCCACCCTTTTTTATCACAAGAAAGTTTGCTTCAGAAGACATATTACATGGCTTTATCTAAGATATGCAAAACATTGCTACCTGTAATCAGTTCCAGTAAGAATTAAAACAAAAATGAAGATCATAGGATCTCCACAACACTCCAAATAGATTGAATATTTTTGAAAGGAAACACAGCCCCCATAGAGCAAATGAAAGTGAACATCTTCAGAAAGAGCCTGGCTAAAATATTTGTTTTCAGAACAGAAAGTTATCACTTGCTGCTACGCCTGAACATAGCTAGGCCATTCCAGCAGCAGGATGTAGCAGAAGATTTAAATTAGAGTATCTGAATGCTGTCCCCCACCCCAAGCATAATTCCCATTATCTTCAGTGCTTTATGACATTATTACACTTGCTCATGTTAGATGCTGTGTTACCTAAGGCAGCACTGATTTTCAGAAGATTGTACTGGATGTACTGTAAAGAAATTGATCGAATATGCTGATGATAAGTGATAATGCATTAGCCAATGCTTGTAAAGGAGTACCAACATACAATGGAATTAAAATAGATACACAATTAGCAAAAATGTAGGCCAGGGATGACACACAATTAGCAAGAATGTAGGCCAGAGACGACATCCTTCATTTGCCACGCACAAAAGTATCATTAAATTTAACATTAAATTTCTGTTTATCTGGAGCACTCGCTGAGTCGAGTGGCAACTTGCAACAAAGCAAGTCCTGGTCATTCAAGTCCAGCAGAGGGAGTCAGGTGTAGCACAAAGCCCCATCCATCCACCCCAGTAGGGCTCCTCAGGCCTAAGCACTGAGGTCTAAGCCATTGTTTTGCTTTTTACTTATTCAGTGCCAACTCAGCTTAGATATGCGAACTTGTGCCAATTAATCGACAGTAATTTTCAAAAAATGTAAAGGCTAGCCTACAAATCTGATTTTTCTTGTAACAGTAAATACAGCTTCTGCTGAAAAATCTTAAATGACACAAAAACTTAACACACAGTCTTTACATGCTTCCCAAGTTTACTTTAGTATTGCAAAATATTCTACCTAGTGCAAACATTTCACTCAACTCAGTATTTTAAATAAACTTGAAAACATGAAAAACTTGAAGCAAAGCTGTTGAGCCTTCCTGTTAAAGCAATTAAATGAGTCTTTATCTGTTGAGCTTCCCCATTAAACTATTATCTTCTCTAACTGCAGTACAATTTTTCACAAAATTGATTTAAAAAGTAGTTTAGAGAATTCTTAACTGTCAATATTTCAAATACGTCTGCGTTACTAAAAACCATACTAAATCAGATACTAAAATCAGTAACTATAACAGATTTTTTTTTAATAGACATCTGAAAATTAAGTTCTGTTGCCAAGATATTTTCCCATCCTAAGCAATGCCCTGAAATCTTTGTCAAACTTTCCTGCTTTCATCATTTCTCAGCTCATCACACAAACTATCTGCATAAATAAAGATGTAAGCATCTGCCGTATGGCAAATGGTCTCAGGGGCAGATGTTTTTATCCTTGCATTCATGTCACTGGCTTGGATACATTATTTGAACAGATGTACACAATCTGAAAGTGTCGTGTCCCACAGTGAAATGTCTCCAACTGCTTTCTATCAAAGTGCATAAATGCTATTTGCACCTGCATTTATGTTAATGATATAAAGGCAGCAGGGGTTCCAGCAAAGTGAGGGCTGATGCTAAGGAACACATTTACATGGTTAATTGAAGTCTGAGATCTCCTAGCACCAAACAACTACACTAACATTGACATTAAACTGTTATATTAAACTATACAATTTTTTTTTTAAGTTATATGATTTTTATTAAAACAAACATACAAGGAGCAAAATTCTACCAGCCTACGAGCATATTTTTCTAATTAATATCTCAAAAAGACAAGAGAGTATTAAACAAGTTCCTAGAAAAAAAAGCAATTTATGAATCTGAAAGTACCACTCATCCAAGGGGATTTCAACTCTCTAAGGTTCAAAGTTATTTTGTGTCATTATAGAGCGCTATAAAAAAAACACAGCATTTGTTCAAACACAGAAATGTCTATCCATGTAGATATTTATTATGATTTTATAATTTTCATTGGAACTTTGAAATCTCAGAAGTTAACTATCTCTCATTACTCAGAGAAGCCACCGCTTTTAAATGTATGCCGCTGTTCACTGTATATGTAAAAAAATCACCTTTCTTATATAATATTTTAATATGAAGAAAATACGTGCAGAAGAAGCATGTTTCACATTACAGAACTCATGCTTCTATATGACAAATGGTAACATTCTGGTTACGTTGTCACTCGAAGCACTTGCAATCACAGTTACTTCCATACTCAGCTGAAAAATAACGAGCCTGTTGACAGTACAGAGAGGCTGACAAAAGTACCATACCGAGTGTAGCTGATGGATATGTTCTACTTCCAACGCCATTCATTTTCAAACCTTTTATCTGTAGGAGACGTAACTGATGTGACAGTTGCACATAAATCATAGTAAATTGCTAATAACTTTGATATTTTCAAAGGGCCATAACATTTGAAGAATCAAAGGTTGCTCATGGTATTAAGGACAAAGAAGAGTGATAGCCACAGAACACCAAACATATACCGAGCCAAGTGCATTTGTAGAGCACCACGATTTCACACTGATACAGCTCTTGGGCAGGATGTGGTTATGAGCTCCATCGTGAGCAACAATTCCAGAAGTTAGACCATGGCCCTTATAATTCACTCTGCATGAAAGCTCTTAATGGGATACACACTGAAAAGAATTTTCCTTAAGGAAACAAAAAAAAAAGCCCACCAACTTATTTTTGAGTTTGCAAATAGCTTCACAGTCTGCATTCTTCAGTTGCCCAGAAATAACTTTGTTAAAGAGAACAGAGTTTAACTACATGATGGTCAAATACCCTTAATTCACCTTCTTTAAATTATGGGAATTTCAGGTATGTCACTCCCAAGCATACGGATGTGGAGCACACTGCACAGTGGATGTCTTTATACAATGCTACGTACTACCTGCATTGAAAGAACAGTCCTGTTAGACAGAACTACATCAACAAAGATCAATTCACGTGATGCCCTCTTGGAATAGCTTCCTCAGAATTATCATAGACTTGACAGAAGAGGTAAAGTATAAACTTATATGACAGCAAAAGCTGAGTGCTTCCAGGCAAGTAATATAGAGTGCTGTTCTTAATTAATATAAGTACTAACAATGGAAACTTAACAGACAGCCTAAAATGACTCAGCAGGGTCCATTAGGCTTTATGTCATATCCATCAACATTCACGTTTAAGAGCTACCACTAAAAATAGTGTATGCTAAAAATTATACTTAAATACCAGTGTCACAACACAGAACAACAAGGAAAGGAAATAAAAGTTATGGCTGAACACTTAGAGACTTCGGAATACACAGCTGTGGTGTAAATACACTCACTAATAATGAAGACAAAAATTCAAGACACTCCACTGAAAAACTACATCAAAACATGACTTTTGAAGAGACAAAACAGCAGAAATGCAGTTGAACACAGTAAACATTAATAAGGATAGAAATGCTGGAGAAAAGGCGAAGTTTGCATTTAGAAAATACGCACTTTCTTTTTTGTGTTAGACTTACAGAGTAACTTGCACATAGATCAGAGCCCCAACTACACAGGAATCAAACATAGCAGTGATTTTCAAATATATAAGGATAAAAACTGTAACAAACCCTGAATATTTAGCTGCTAATTCAAACAAGCAGAGTTATATATACGTTAAAGTCTTAGTAACATTAATTACCCATGTCCTAAAAAGAAAACAATCTTAGCTTCTACAATCACTTAAATGTGATAGGTGTTATTATTTATAAAAATAACAAATAGTAATTACAGATAAACAGTGATGAAAAATTAGGGCATGAGTTACACCTACCATTTAAGCTTTTCTTAACAAGGATACTCTTTAGTCCACATTCTGAATCACAAATGTCTAATTTCTCAAAGAAAAAACGTATAGAAATCATACTGTACCTGCAGAAAAAGTTAAAGGATTCTGCATTATGCCCACTAATAGATAGGACAACGTTCCTGGAAAGAAGAAATACAGATGCTTAGAAGTTCTGATACTTTTTTTTAAAAAAACTAAAGGAAGTTACTAGTAGTGTATAGTTAAATGAACAGACTCGCGATAATATTCCCACATCTTGCTGGGAAGATTTTTTAGTTCAAGTGTGAATTTAGAGGGAGCCATAACATGTAAAGAGGTTTCTTATCTTTCTATACATTCATTTCTTAAGATTTTATTTAACATGCTTTGCCATATATTTTTAAAAGTAAAATTAAAGAAAACCGTGTGTTCACTCTGAGTTCTCAAACTATTTTAAAGCAATGTACAAAAAAGTAAACAAGCCAGCACTAAGCAAAACTTTTTATGAAAAGTAACAACTATTTTTGTATGCTATCATACTTTTTCTTTACTTTTCTTTTCTTTAGTCCTCACAGAACGAGTAACTCTGAGATGCAGTGTACAATCTGGGATCAGTACAAAACCAAAAGTCTCCTTGTATATCCTAGCAAAGATGTTTTGAACTCGAAGGCCAATCTTTGCAGTGATAATTTAGTTCACTGAATCACTGACTCATCCATTGAAATGCTTGACATCACACCAGTGTTGTACTACATGCAAGCCTTACATAGCACAATGAAAGAAAACAGTGAGCAAAAACACAAATCAACTGCATAACTGAAAAGTAATTTGATGATGTTAACTCAGCATACATGTTTTCTGTGACTGTTCTTTTTTCCACTTGAAGATCCCTTGACAAATTTTTATTTACTGTTAGTATCCTGTAAAATGCAAATGTTTTCACATGTTATTTCAAACACTACTGTGCTACATGTTCACCTTGCAGACTCAACACTGAAACTTTAGTCAAATCGTAGTAATTTCTGGGTATTGGCAGCTTTTGCTGAAGTACAGAGGTCACAAACAATGCCCATCTTTTCCACACTAATCTTTTAATTTATCTAAGTGAACAAAAGTAAACTTAGAACCAGCGTATTCAGCAGTTCTGTATCTATTCAGCCTTCAATTTTATTTTCAAAGCACATTTCAGTCAATACATGAACTGAGACTCCATTCACATGCCCATTAATACTCTTTTTCCCAACAGTTCTTCACTCTCAAAAACTAAATAGGTCACTACTGCTACACACCAACACTGACAACACATTTTCAAATTTTAACCTGCTGGTTCATTCAAAAAACACCATATTAAAAGCAAAACTAAAAAGGTCCCTGAAAAAGTAAGTATTTTTTTTCACCTGTTGAAAAAAGACCAGGTTTAGTAACAAAACAAAAATGGCAACATTTTTCCAAAATTATTTCTGTATAGAACCCAGTATGCTTGTACCTCGTGCAAACCATACCTGAGTTTTAAACCAAGTGTTTCACTGAATTGCTTATATGCATTCATATTTCAGTTCTGTCTACAACTTTGGTTTCTTGTAATTCAAAGTCCCTGTTAAACTCAAAGAAAGAAAATATATCATGATTTCCAATGGGACAGTGTATTCTGAAGACACAGACAATGTAGGCTTAAGCATCTGTTTCCTTTCAAATAGCTGACTGCATGGATCCTCTATAGCTGACTGATAAGCAGAATCTTCCATGGATGTTACAATGAGGAATGCTAGCACACACTTGTGAAGCCAACATTACACTGCCATCTCTCCTGAGCTTGACATTGGTTCTTACCACTCTACTGCACAGCGTTTGACATAAATCACTAAGTGGCTACTTGGCCACCGGCTGTTTCTTTCCAGTGTGATTTAACAGTAAAGTATGAAAGACATTATACAATTACAACATCAAATTATGCTGTTATCTACTTTGGTTTCCTTTGACCTGGTCCAGCAACTGGATTGGCTGCATCATAGTTTGGTTTGGCTGAGCGGCACGTTAAAGAGCAAGGCAGGAGTCACACAGGGTATCAAAATTCTTGTCCTCCCGATACTCATTTTGGAGGCTTTGGAAAGGAACCATCTGCCGACTGACACGGCTCCAACAGCAGCAGACGGCCGGCCGCCCGGGCCCTGTCCGTGGTGCTTAAGCAACGGCCCGGCCGGCAGCGCTCACACTGCTCCGCGCTCCCGGGGCACTGCTCAGCACAGCGGCAACGGGCCCCAAAGCGTCCCTGGGCCGCCGCGACGGAAGGGCCGGGCCGCAGCCTGGCAACACGAAACTTGCAGGGACCGGAGGGGATTTTGCACTTTTACTATATCCACGTTTTCCATCAACAGTAATGCTGCCTTTTGATCGCTGCCTGCTGCTGCTCTGGGAACTGGCCCTGCTGGCATTTTTGTATGAACACAATGATTAATGGCCCTTGCTCACTGAAAATTCGTGACATTTTTCAGCCACTCTGATACGTGCTTAACAGCTACTCAATAGCTACTCATATTTGATGGGTGTCCTAACACATATGCTGCTGTCAGTTCAAAAAGTTCTGAAATTCTGAATGAATGCACAGGATTCAAGGATAGAACATCTACACGGCTACCTGTAACTCACCCTCACCACATTTTTTTCTTTCTTTCTTTTTTTCATTTGCTGGCAAGTCTAAATCTTTGTGTTACTTCCTCCTCAAAACACCATCACATTCAAAAAGATCCAATCTTAGAAACAAAATTACTAGCTGCAGTTTGTACATATTTCACACTCCTACGTCCAGAACAGATGTTATGTTGGCCACCACTTCAAGATGTCCTACTGATTTTAACTTTTAATGACTGCTGAAGTGGAAATCATTCTAGGAGACTTTCTTATTATTAATGGACTTCATAGCACTCCTACTCTTCCAATACCACTTCTTTCCAAATACAAAAGATGACATTGAGTATGGACCAATATAAACAATTTTACATCTTTCAACCAAATGACAAAACTTATACATTTCCATAGAACCTTAAAATCTATTTCGTTCAGTTTGTAACACTAAGATAAGATAGTTAAAAAAGACATTCAAAATGCAGTAGTCCAGAACATAGAATTGTCCCTTGAAATCTGCTGTTAATGGATCTAAGAATTTCAAATAAGTGGAGTTCAAGTTGGATAGAATTAAGAAGTCAAATTCATCTTAATGCCACAAAAAATCTCTATCATGTTTACAGTCCTCCTTACGTTACCAAAGAATGAAAGGATAAATACAGAAGAAAAAAAAAAAAAATCAAATAAAATGAAAAAAAGTCTCAAAACTACATTGTAAATTGTCTTCAACAGTCAAAGGCAGCAGAGCATACACTTGTATTTATTCAAAACTAATCTTCATGGAAAGACACTCGTAGGTCTTTACAGGAAATTGGTGTCCTGACAGACATATGGGCTCTGAATATCAGGTGAACTCAATTAACCTAATTTGATGCTTGTCCATACTAGGATGTTTATTTTAGATGTTAGACAAAATCCTTCACGATACTACACAGAAAATGATAAATAGGCTGTAAAGGTTATGACATTAATTTTACTGTTATTCTCATGCTTTAAGCAGACATCAAAACTAAAAACCTCACGCTCTGGGAAGGGAGAACTATGTGAAAGTAATTACACTACTTAATATCTTAATAGTATTAAACTAAACCACTGTGACCTTAACTGAATTTAGTTTTGGTACATTTGTTAGAAGAACAAAGCTTCTCAGTGATGACTATACCATCTAATGCAGTGAACACTGGTTCAGATACTGGAAGAAAGCATTAAATCAAATTTTATAATTTCATATTAAGCTTAATTACAAATTCTAATTTAAAACAAGGCATGTAACAAAGCATCAGTTAAATAGTATTATGTAATTTCATTTCAGAAGGAAAATATTTCACCAAAAAGAAAAAAATGAAGTACTTAGCACACTTAAGAAAATACATCCTCCTAACAGAAGCCCATGAAATGTCAATTAATGTTTAAAAAGCCATTTCATTTACTTCATTTTTCACATCTGTTCTTTTACATACTGTGTCATCTTTTAAATGATGGTTCCACGCCATCACTATTTCCCAACATTCAGAAACTTTTTAGAAACCAAGCTCCCCAAAAAGTACAGATTAGCAATAGCTTCCAGGAAAGTTAGCAAAATCTAACTATTTACAGGCTGAGTTAGACTTGAAACAAAGGATTAGAACATTGAAGCGATGCAGTATGACAAAGCTCCTGAGGAAATGACAATGACATACATAAAGACTGGCTAGTGGAATACACGAAAGCATTTGTTCAAGTAACAGCATTTGCCAAAATTCTGCAATGCTTTCACTATCCAAATCTTCAGTCAGAAGCTTTATTTATTATTACTGAAAATTTTCTATTTCAACCCTATTTTCACACCAGTATTTCACCCTACACCAGTAGCTCCTTATCCTACAACTACGTATCCAAAGAGATACACAGTCTAAAACACCAGCTTTCTTACAAAACAGATTACATACTGTTACTGTTAATATTCCCATACCTAGGTAATTAATCAGGGAGAAATGCGTGCCTGTAGCAGAATTCTTTTGGCTGAGACCACTAGGTGACTTCAGCAGACAGCCAAAAAGAAGCAGAAGCCTCACTACAATTGGTCTTCCCCCTCCACACCCCCAGTAAAAACCCACCAGAATTTATAACCTAGACTATTTTTACATGTTTGGTCATCCTGTGTGATGGACCAGCCAGAGTACATTTCCTGAACTTCAAGCTCACTTGAACGTCTCAGTGGCAATCCTGGACAAAAATTCCTTGCTTCACACCCTGCTAGGTGATCTATATAATGGTTCTCTGGCATGGCTACATTATGCCCATCTGTCAGAGTGGAACTGTGCCTACATAACAGGTTCTATGCTACTTCCAGTAATATCTTGTTGATAATGAAAGCTTACTTAGGAAACGGCACAGTGCAAGTTCAGCTTCTGACTGCATCTTTTGGCTTAAAAGAAAAAGCAATTGAAGGCGATTGCTTTTCTTCAGGAGATTTCTCTCTTGAAACCAATTTCTTCAATTGCACAAATAAAGACTTCACATACACAACCAGAAATGAGAATATCCCAAAAATTTTCTA